GATTTCAGCCCCAATTCTGTGACTTCAATTGATTCTGGCTGCAAAAATCTGACTTTAGCCTATTCTGGCACCCGTCTGACTCCTACATTGCTGGAAAGATTAAGCAGTTGAAAGAATAAATTGCAACACTTGAAACGATTATTAACTAATAAATGAGAAAACACTTCCAGAAGTACAGAAGCCATTGTTAAGCCATGTATGTGTATATATGCCAACATAATTATGAAAGACGAAAATATGATGCTAACAGCCATTTTCCCGTTGAGATAAATTCTTGACCTGATCCCGTAATTGCCAAAAAAACTGACTTCAGTATTCAACCTAAAGGTAGAAACTTCATATTCTTCACCCTATAGAAATGTACATATTGAAAATTTTCATTTTATGATTGCAATGTATCAATTTATCAGAACATAGCTTACATGTTTCTAATTTCATTTCAATTTTCTGTTGCTGATTTTTTTTATATTCGACTACAGACAGATACAGCATCGGTTCCTCTAGAGGCAATAGAGTACATAAGATTCCTTCAAGAGCAAGTTTAGTGTGCTTATTTCCCACAAATTTATAAAAATCTTTTCAAACAGATAATTAGAAATGTAGTTCTTATTAATCTTGTGCAGTAAAGTATAAAACTTGATGTGATTTGAAGTAAAGCTAGTAATGGAATTCTTTGAATTCTAGAGGAGGATATTACTTGAGAATGCTAAGTGATTGTTCAAATANAAGAATTTCCATCCATTGTAAATTATACAGGCATTACCATATATTGAATTAGAAGCTTGATCTTGGATATATACTTGCACACACTACTGATGTGATATGAAGTAAAGCTAGTAAAGGAATTCTTTGAATTCTAGAGGAGGATATTACTTGAGAATGCTAAGTGATTGTTCAAATATTTGATCCCAAGGCAAGTTGTTGTGTCAAAAAACTCAAAACAGATAGTTTGAGGGATAATGAGGTTCCAGACACCTCTTTTAAAACATATTGTTTTGTCTATTGAAGCTGCCAATCTTCAGAGATTTTAAAAACACATAGCATAACACAGTGATTCCAATTAAAAGAATTAGAAGAAGAGAGGATTTTAACAAGACTAGATACATAAAGATTTTTACTTACAAACACAGCAGGAATAGCAATTATGACCAAGCTCAATAATATTAATATATAGCAAAAGTAATTCTGCAATACTAGAGCTCTATATTCTGCAGTATTCAGTGACCTATTACAGCAAAAACTGTACAAGTCAGTTATACATAAATAAGAGAACTGATGGAAACATAAAAAGCATGAAATTACTGACTGATTAATATGCCTACCTTAAAAATAATTCTGCAATACTAGAGCTTTGTAGTCTGAAGTATTAAGTGACCTATTCGCATAAAAATAGTAAAAGTCAATTCTACAGAAATAAGATAACAAATGGACACATAGAAATCATGAAATTATTGACAGATTAATATGCCTACCTTAAAAGAGAACTTATAAAATGAATGAATCACTTAGCGTTGGGCTCTTGATCATCTTCATTTGATTTTGAATTCATTGATTCTAAAAGTTCATCCATTTGGTTGTAATGCTCAACATCTTCCATGCAAAAACCATCCAAGTTCGGAAAAGCCTTCAACCAATTTAAAGGATCAAGTATCCTTCCTCCAGTACTAAA